GGAGAGGGAGAGAGGGAGGGAGGGAGGGAGGGAGACCTATAAATCTCCATTACTGTGGAAAGGTCATTTGCATTGTGCTGAGATCACAATTTTCTCCAAAGCCAACTGCCTGTAGGATTAGGAAAACAACCTGCTAAAGCAACAGCCTCCTAACCCAGGCAATATGAAAGTGACAGAGAGAATATATTTTTTAATACCTGAGTATAAATACTACCCCTGATCTGGGCAATGGATAAAGGCACAGAGTGAGAGTGGTTTTATTCCAGATCCCAGTTAAGAAAACATTAAAAGAAAATTTTATTTCCTTCAAACACTTTACAATGTAGTTAAGGAGACAAGGCAGAAACACACACACAAAAATGAGCAATAATAAAATAAGAAAGGCATTCTTGTAGTTATGTCCAAATCTAATTTTGGCTATATTTCTATTTCCCAGAACATATTCACTTAAGATACAATGAAGGTTCTATTCAACCAAGTTCCAGGTTGAGAAAGAGAATGAAAAAGTACCTTTATAAAATAGCAAAAATTTTCAAAGATTTGAAAATATTTTTAAACTTATCAATTTGGTCATTTATAAAAATAAGTACCCTGACATCTTTAGTCCTTATTTAACTATATCTCTACTTACACTATTTGAGCTAAGGCCACAGTAAAATACAGGAGCCAATGGAAAGCATTATTGCAGAGAGATTTCAAGTTAATAAGGAATGGTGCTAAGATTCTTTTCTGTTGAGGGATATTTCTTTAAAAAGTTTGCCCAAGATACCTGTACAATTTACACCCCACCCAAAGCTTCAGCTATTGTTTCTCTCAATATTCTGTCTTCTAATTAGACTCTTTTCCCCAAAATAATTATCTGTCCCCTCTGCCTTTCTGCTACTGACAGCACAATAAACTGCCCTGTTCTCTACACAATGCCCACAGATTTTGCAAAATAAAGCACAGTTCACATCATAGAACCACTTGATTTTTAACCTTCAACCATACCTTATTGCAATTCCATTAACTCATTCATTAAACCAACTTGTACAACTGCTGTGTGACAGGCACCATGCTGGATACTCAAATAAAAGGATTCATCAATTTTTTAATTTGCTACTTACTAGTGCTTTAGTATAACAACATTCCTAAGACTTAAAGTACTTAAAAGTTAGATGATTTGTTAATTCATATATAGCAAGCTTAAACAAGCCCAATAATGCTAACATAATTTTTTAAAAATTCAATGAGTATAAAGTTTCCTAAATATGATTATATCTCTTAGCTTTGAAGGTAGAAGGTTGTATCATAGATCCAAGTATAAATCTAACGGAATCTGTGTTCCTTTTGCTGTGGAATATATATATACACATTTAAAAAGATACGTAAAGCCCGGGCCAGTGCAGCTCAGTTGGTTGGGCATTGTCCTGTGCACCAAAAGGTGGCCAGTTCAATTCCTGATCAGGGTACATGCCAGGATTGCAGGCTAGATCCCCAGTAGGGGGCGTGCAGGAGGCAGCCGATCGATGTTTCGCTCTCACATCACTGTTTCTCTCTCTTTCTTCCTTCCTCTCTAAAACTTAATAAAAATATTTTAAGTGTGTGTATGTGCGCGCGCGCGTGCGTGTGCGCGCATATAGAGTGATCTCAGCACAATGCAAGTATATATACACAAATATATATATATTTATATATATATATTAAAAAATATTTAAGAGTGTATATATATATATTTTTTCTGTATACAATTTCAAGGACCCCAGGTTATAAATATGATCTAGAGAATACTTTCACTAAATTATATATTAGTGACCCTGAGTTGGCCATGTAGAGCTAAGTTACATATTCATGTGTACAAACATATGAAACCACGTTTTTAAAAATTGAAATAGCTTTAAAGTAACATCTCTGCTGCCTACTTGTTATAAAGCAGCTTGACATTAGGTTTCATACCTGAAAGCCAAACCCCAACTATATCCAGAAGAATGAATCAGAAAATTCAATAGTTGATCTAACTCCTCAAAAATAACCAGACCTCCTTTCCTTTAAGTTAAAATCTGGTATGAAGAAATAGGAATGACCCAGCTAGTTTATTATAATGGGCAAAAAAAAGGAGGAGAGGGGAGTATCCTGAATTCTAAAAAGCTTTGTAAATCAAAGCCTAAACTTTTGCATTCCAAAAGTTGCTTGAGTTATACTTAGGCTGCTAGCATTATACATAAGATGGGAGTTTCAATTCAGTCAGAACTTCTACCTAGTAAAATGTACAGCTTTATCTAATCTTGATATAAGTTACAAGATGTCAATCTCAAAGCCTGGGGCTCATAATCATCTACTTCTCCATTTGTGTGATGTAGACCATCAACTAAGACATCTTATATACAAAACATTCTCTATCTCAATCATGTAACTGAGTTAAAATGAAAGGCCACATTTTATTCTTCTGTACTTTTTAGAATAGTGACCATACATCATAAAGAGTCAGATTTCCAGTAACCTCAGAACAAACTCATAAACTTGAAAATGTTATAATACCTGAAGACTAGGGCAGAAGAAAAAAACTGCACTAAAAGTAAAACTACTAATTAAGTATTACTGTCTATCTGACTTCCTCTGGAAATCTTCAGTTCTTAAATTACCTGAAAACAGCAATGAAGGCTCTGCAATACTTGCATAATGAGAGTAAATTCTTGAAGGAGACACAATCAAAAAAGGGGAAAAGGAGACACTAATAGAAAGACAGTAATTTGAAGGGCATCTGCTGTGCAGAAAAACAAAAAGCAGTACACACTTCAGACGCTCTTGAATTACAGAATCACATTCATACAGACAACACGCAATCCACGGGAAAGGGGGAAGAGGAGACACAATCTATTTTTATTAAGCACATAATTGATTAAGATAATATTTCCCCAACTTAGTCATTCAGTTTGCTATTATATCCGAGTACCCTATTATTTGCTTATAGTTTTTGAATTAGCTCACAAAATCATTTATCACCGAGACCTCAAAAGACAGACATCCTGTATTTTACTCTTTAATTCAACTTAAGAGCTGTGTATCAATATACCTATCACAAGTCCTAAAGAATCCAGCTAACCTTTATCTCTTGTAACAGTAACGCTCAAGAAATAACTACTTCTAATTTTATATACTCTATCCTGTTTCCCAAAAATTAAGCTGGTCCTTAAAGAAGTTAAATGAGACAAGCTACATTGACAAAAAAGAGAAAGAGATCTAGCCTAATAAAAAGTCTAGAAATGAAAACAGGAATAAGTATGTCCCCTTCTAATCAGGATACTTGGGAAAAGCTCAATTAACATATCACTATTTAACCAGCTTCATATGGGAAATGCACTACTCTAAGTTACTTAAAATTAAGGTTTAGTTTCATTACCATTTTAGCATTGCCAGGGAGCTCTATAAAAGACAGACTCAGCATATTAGGTCAGTATTTAATAAAACGGTATGACAACTATTTTACTTACTACTTTATTCAAAGAGAAAACTATCTTCACCACTCTTAAAAATAATGAGTCCTGTGATACTTACGCTGCGTAAGCTTTTGCTATCCTCATGAACATAACTTCATCACCTCCTTTATCTGGGTGATATTTAAGTGACAGCAAACGATACTGTTTCTTAATTTCTGTTACTGTTGCCCCCTAAAAGGAAAAGGTTTTAGTAAAAATAAGCATAATGCTGCATGAACAAAATCTATCCCATTTTGAACTTAAAATATTTTCAGACAGAGAAAATGAAGTTTTTATCCTATATATTGTCCCATAAATTTTACTCCTCATACTTTTTAAATAAAAATGTATTTATTTTGTCCAATATATTTATTTTATTGAGCACCTATGTGCCATGCAGTACACTAGGCACCAATGGCATGAGAATGAAGTCATGAGCAACACAGGTTTGAACTACACAGGCCCACTTATACGTGGATTTTTTTTGGTATTTATAGATTTTGCATCATGGAGTCAATCAACTGCAGATCAAAAACAGTATTTTCAAATTCTCAACTGCAGTTTCCCAACCAAGGATTGAAAATACTCTTTTCCCTCCAATCCGGTGATGCAAAGGGCTGACTTTGGAGTCAAAAGTCATACTTGAATTTTTGACTGGGCAGGACTGGCACCCCAACCTCCATGCTGTCAAGGGTCAACTGTAATGCCATATTATCAAATAAAAGGATAATGACGATTTAAATATCAAAGAATGATCAGGTAATTAAGTCTGGCTGAAAAAACCCTCCAGTTAAAGGTTAACTTCTGCCTGGCCAGAGTGGCTCAGTGGCTGAGCATCAACCTATGATCCAGGAGATTCCGGTTTGATTCCTGGTCAGGGAACATGCCCAGGTAGGGAGGTGGAACCCCAGTGGGGGACATGAAGGAGGCACTAGATCAACGACTCTCTCATCATTGATACTTGTATCTCTCTCTCTCCCTCTCCCTTCCTACCTCTGAAATCAATAAAGATATATTTTTTTTAAAAATTAAAAAGGTTGACTTCCTTTCTAAGAAATAATCTGAAGAATATCTGGTTTCATCTGCTTGTCAATATTTTAATATTAAGTAAATACTTAATAAGCTTACCTTAGTTGTTTCCTAATTAGACTCACTTTCTATTAATAAGCTTTTCACTTGACTTTTCATAGCATCAAACTGCCCCCAAACCCTTTAATCTTTAAAATCTCTCAATGACCATGATCATCACAATAAAAGAAAAACAAATGATAGGTATAGTTTTCTTCCACAAGGCAGAAAACAAGAAGATAAACACGCTCCTTACTTTTTATTACATGAATCTCTGGGTCAAGCAATCTACTGAGCAGAGACTAGAAGTAAAAGAAGTGGCCTGGGGAAATCATGGAAAGAGCACTAGGTTTAGCTTGGCTACTAAGGAGTCAGGGGATCCCAGACAAGATACAGAATTTCCAGGCCTCATTTTCACCATTAGAAAAAAAAGCTAGCCCTGGCTGGTTTCGGTCAGTGGTTAGAGCATCAGCCTGCACACTGAAGGATCCCAGGTTAGATTCCCAAGCAAGGGCACATACCTGGGTTGCAGGTTCAAACCCCGGTTCGGTCAGGGCAACCAATAGATGTGTATCTCTCACACTGATGTTTCTCTCTCTCCCCCCTCCCCTCCCTCT